TTCCCCTCCCCCTTCGCAAGAAGCGGGAGCGGCAGCGGCGCCTTTGCTCCAACCCCCCCCGCGTCTCGCAGGCACGGGCGTCTCTGCACATCCCGCTCTCTCGCAGACTCACTTCGAGAGACTTTGGGAGGCCGGGATGAGCTGCGGCGGGACCACAGGCAGGAGCGAGCGGGCGAGCGCGAACTTGAGAGGCGGCGTGCAGCCCGATCCTGGGAGTTGCACGCCGGTGTGCGCGGAAGGAAAGTCGCACGGTCTCGACTCCTTCCGGGGGGGGCTTTCGGCCCAGGTAAGGGAGCGTGTGGCGAAGGGGATTGCAGCTACCGAGCAGTAGGGAAGACGAGGCGAAGTGTGAATAAATCTATTCGAATTGCTTGCTTTTTCGGCTACGTTTCATTTGCGCGCGCCATATATATATATATAAAAAAAATTTCCTGTCCCGGTGCTCACTTTCTGAACACAGATTGACTTATAACGGCACCATCCTAAACGCATTACCCCCCCCTTACTGTAAAAAAAAGGTCTATTCCCCTTCTAAGCATAAAAAGTTGCTCTCTTCCTCAGAACCAAGCCTTAGGAATTCACTACGGCTTTGGCTTTATTTTTATGCAAGCATGCCTATTATATCCCCCTCATCCAACTCTGAGGGCCTTTCTCTTAAATGATCCTCTTTAGAATTTGCTACAGGTTTCCTTGCCAATCCCAGGGAAAGCCTCTTGTGGCATTTAAAGATTAGCATTAATTATGGCATGCGCTTTCAAGGAACTTCATCTGATCCACAAATTATCCTCCAGTACAGGTGTATACAGTGGTTGGAGTGTTAAGTGTTACTGTCTGTATTTCGTTTTCCTTTTGATCTCACGATTTGCATTTCCCATCCCAAGCTATATATGTATATCTTGACCTGCAACTCAGGATAACATTTCAGGCACGTGAGGAATTCTGATACACAAAAGCTTATGCCATAATAAATTGTTTAGTCTTCCAGATACCTTCAAGATAGACCTCCGTGAAACATGAACCCTGACGGGTGTTGCAGATCTTTCCCAGGACATGAAACCACCTGGAAGTACTCAGTATGTGAGAAGTGAAGCCCAAACCCATTTACCAAACAGCAGGTCCCATTCTGTGTTTTAAGTATATCTTAGTAAATACTTGTGGGTTTATGTGTGATTCTGCCCTCTTAAATAGGGTCATTTGGAAGTAAATCCAAGTCATTTTAGTAAGACTTGCATCTAAACATCCAGAGCTTTGGGCTGTACCTCATGTTACCTGTTGGCTGAGTTTGCACATCACAGAAGCTACAGATTGTTTTAACCATGCTTTGCTAAAACCACACTAGCGATGTATATACAACATGCTCATCCATAATCCATGCCAGCCCAGCGGCCAGTTCCACACAAAGATAAACAAATATTGAGGTATAATGTATGAACCTGACAATTGTGTCCTTAGCATGGATCACCATTTCTATCTGTCAAATGGGATCTATCTTTAAATCAAATTAAATAGTATTCTTCCATTTTGTGTAAGTAAATATTAATCCATAGATTGAGCAATGCCATGAACATTAATTAGCATGGCTCTAACCATTAGAATGGCTTCCTTCACATTGCTCGCTACTTATAGGACTGGGAACATTCCCAGCAGTTTTAAGGGTTAAGTGTTTGGGAACAACTAACTGTTCTGCCACAACTTTGTTAGACTAACACGATAAGATGCAATATCCTTTGCAATGCAGGCAATGATTCATAGCCTCAGGAATAGCCGCCACTGTAATTTTACTACATTTGAGATGTAAAGATACATAAATTAATGCCATTGATGGATTTAAAAATCTGAGCAATTATCATGCAGAAGATAAATAACTCTGTTTGCCGAGTGTTAAAATGCTAATTCCCATCAGCTCATCCATCCAGCATGGCTGACAACAAAGGATCTTGGGAATTGTAGTTGTTATTTCCAGAGGTATTGGATTGCCTACTTCACTGTTTCTGCAAGCTAGGCAATTCCAGATGCGTGGAGCAGTATGGCTGCTGCTGAGGTCAGGTAGTTGGAAGTCTACACATCTAGGAGTTGCCCAGCTTGGAAGGCACTGGTCTCAACTCCTTGTGTTGAAAAAAGCTTGCTGCCAAACTCTACCAATAGTCATTGAACAGAAGATGCCTTTCTCTGAGTTCAGTGATATTTTCTCCCAGATATACAGCCTGGGACTCATCACACACACTTACTGGATAAGCCCATTGATGCATGTAATACTCAAAGGGGTCTGGATATGTACCTCTCTATCAATAAACTTGATCCTTTCCAGAAGTTTCTCTTTCATTACAACCTCTGAATGTAATATCCAGTTCATAGTAGTCTTTAGCATAAAAGTATAAAATTTTATTGAATGGTTCTGTTTGAATGACACTGAACCACAAGCTAGTCAATCACAGTTTAGTGTATTCTGTTTAGTTTGTAGAGGCAACCAGATCCATGCTGCAAAAATATGCAAGACCAATAGATGGCAGTAAATCATTCTTAGAGTTTTCTGAATCTCTGTGGAGCCTTCTAGTGGGTGTACAGAGCTTTGCAGCCTGGATCTACTCTACCTGCTGCCCTCCATCTAAAAATGACTACTTTCCAGCACTTGGTCATTAAAGCAGGCTTAGATGGTACAGTATCAATGGAAAATATTGTAAACCCTCCTTGTAAGCCATAGGCATGTAAAGCAAAGAAACTTCAGGGAACTGCATCAGAAGCTGCAGACCCAAAATGGGGTAGCTTTACTTGTTCAAGCTAAGGCCCCAGCAACTGTCACCATGCAGATCACAACACACCTGCCCAGAGTTACTTTCGTTCTTGAGCCCAAAGTGGTTTACCACATTTGTTACACAGAGCATTGATTTCCCCAGATATAAATTGTAATA